CTGACAAGAATGCCACTGTTTTTAACAAGGATACTGAGCAAGTAGTGGCAATTCTCAAAGGACACACAAAAAAAGTGCGCAATCAATTTAAATTGTCGTTTTATTATTTCCTTAAACATACTAATTTTTTTAATTATCCTCTTAGGTTACACGAGTTATTTATCATCCAGAGGAGGATGTAGTGATGACTGCGTCACCCGATACTACAATTCGTGTGTGGAACGTTGCTACCAGTCAAACAACATTATTATTAAAAGCTCATGATGCACCTGTGACTGGATTGTCTCTACATCCAACTGGCGATTATCTACTGAGTTCCTCTTTAGATCAACATTGGGCCTTTTCGGACATACGTACTGGCAGATTATTAACTAAAGTATGTTTTTAATTAATATATTATATTTAATTAGAAAGATTGTGGTATGATAAAAAAAAGGTCCTACGAATTTTTTTTCGTAGAAGCAATTGTTTTCATGTACTATGGCTTCGAAATTTGAAAAGTTATGCTTCTAAGAGGTAATGCATTCCTTTCCACACCATCTCAGAGTACTAGGCGCGTTTTTTTTCTTAGCTGTGGTCTGCTCTGTAGGCCTAATCCACAATTTCTTTTTTTTTTAGAAAAGGAGTGCATTACCTCCTTTCTGTTTCCCTCTCTTCTAGTCTCTCTTTTTTCATACACATATCATGCTTGATTGTTTAAAGATTGCAGGACAAGCAGATTGCAGACAACCATTGACAACTGCGCAATTTCATCCTGATGGTTTGATTTTCGGCACTGGCACAGCGGATTCTCAGGTGAAAATCTGGGATTTAAAAGAACAATCTAATGTGGCAAACTTTCCGGGACACACTGGTCCAATCACGGCGATTAGTTTTTCCGAGAATGGATATTACTTGGCAACAGCTGCGGAAGATTCATGCGTCAAGCTTTGGGATTTGCGTAAATTGAAGAACTTCAAGACATTACAGTTGGAGGAATCTTATGAAGTGAAGGATATTTGCTTTGATCAAAGTGGAACTTATTTGGCTGTGGCAGGAACGGATGTCAGGTAAAATGTTGAACAATAATAAATTAAACTAGACTGCTACACGAATAAATCAAATAAATAATGAAAGGACCAAATACAGTCGATTTTATATCTTATATTTTATCAAATTTATTAGTTATTACTTATTAGTAACTATTAGTTACAACTTGATGGTTATTAGTTATTGATATTATGGATATTAGTTATTCGAAAGTATTGATACTAATATAATAAAGATTATATACTAATTAGTAAACTCCTATTAATAAAAGTCTTATATTAAACAAAATGTCTTTAAAAATCTTACTGTGTCTCAATTGCAGTATCACATATTTTAATATTTTAACTTGTTTTAATAATTTAAATTTGCCATGAAATATGTTAATATTGTATAATGTAACTTAATTTAAGATTATATTATATATGTTGTATTGTTTTAGGGTATATCTCTGTAAGCAATGGCAGGAATTGAAAGTCCTAAATGATCACACAGCCGCTGCCACTGGCATTCGTTTCGGAAAACATGCACAATATATCGCGTCTACTAGCATGGATAGAACATTAAAACTGTACGGATTATCATAAATATAGAAATATACTATTATTTTTAATTGGATTAGAATATTACTCTGTAAATGTGTCTAATCGATTCGATAAATATTGACTTAACTTTTTTTAAATTTTTCATGTGTTAAATAAAAAGTTTAGAATAAGTAATAAACAATTAATATAGTAAATTCATAATATTGTAAGGTCTATTTAATCTTTGCATTTTGGATAATTTAATCTTCAAGAGTGAATCTTATGTAAATTAGGAATTTGTTACGGTTTTTTCTTTCAAATGCGAATTGTATGAGAATTTTTCAGCCATAAAAGGCCATAAAATTTTAAACGTTGCGTATTTTTACAAAAATATATTATCTTTATGTGCAAATAAACAAGTGCGGTTATGTAAACTACAACTTTTGTTTTTAATCATTAAATCACATACTTGCGTGCATCTTATAGAAAATTAATATTTTATATAATTATATATCTAAAGTGTTATTTTCTATATATTTCTTTTAAGTAAAATTCTATAAATGTAAAAAAGATCTAGGAACATCCTACTGTTATAATTAACAGTAAATATTAAACAAAATTACATTTTAAAAATATCAATATGTAATTTTAAGAAACTTGAATGTTGAATAAATTAAATGAAATCACAAATGTCCCAAAAGTATTAAACCTTTATTAAGGCAACGTAGTGGTGGGGGGGATCCCATTAAACAAGATTTTATCGTAAAAATTCTATATAAATATACAAATACGCGCGCATGTGTGTGTAAAATTACTTATTTGTTACGTATAATAAACACATGTACGTCTTTAATGAACAAAGAAGAGAGTATTAGCTCCTGATTATACATGTTATCTTTTAATTATGTATATACGTACAAAATAGCTCATATATTGTTTGCTGATTGTTTCGTAAAACTATAGGAAAATTTTTTATATAGGCAATTATTATAAATACCAACTCACATGATATCTTATGAGTATTCTAATTATACAATAGTAAAATAGTTCATAATCTTAACAGTGAAAATGATTTTTGACAGCTCGTAAAATATCTATTCTTACTGCTGTCATTAACTCTACTTAAAAACAGTTCGTAATACTTATATATATATATATATATAGTTTGCTATCAATCGCAATTATTTTGTCTTTGTTGATTATCTTATGACATCGAAGACTTGAATCAAGGCACTTGCTTGCTACCTTTTTCGTACAGTTTTGTATCAGTATATAAGTAAAATACATTCACACATTTTATAAATTACATAATACTTTAAACATCTAACAATTTTTCTAGTTTTAATATAATTGCGTAACCGTGTAACACAAATAATTCTTTTTTTTTTATATATCATGAAAAAATCATTTCGTGAAAAATAAAGTTATTTGTACATTTGAAGTTTGAAAATCATTTTCTTCTGCCGTGTAAAATAAATTTTTGCAATTGTTTGAAAATCATGTGTTTCTATGTATAATTTGTCACTAAATACGAAAATAATAAAATTATAGAAATTGAAGAGCACAATGGTGAAAAATAAAATGCTATAATGCCATCTATAATGCTATTGTATAATGCTATTTATTTTAATCGCTCTAATTTTATCATTTTCGAATTTAGTGATAAATTTTAGACGAAAATACATGCTTTTTAGATAATCGCAAAATTGAACTGCGGTCAAAATGACTTTCTCTAAGCTTCGAATGTGCATAAAAAAACACAAGTAACTTGATCTTGCGAGACGAAATACATCTCTATGCTAATATTGATAGATGTATTTCATCTCGCTTTAATCTTTATTTTCACGGATATATTGACTTTTTCGTATATAAAAAATGCTGTTGCACGGTGTAATAACAATTACTGTAAAACGTACTCCAAAAGAGATTGAACGTTGTTGCAACTGTTACAACTTTTCTATGAATAAGATACGTGTAAAGACGTATAGAAAATATCGTTACTCTTGTTATAGAATATTGATTTTGGAAGCCCTATTTCTAATGTCACGCATACATGCATACTAGCACGCACGCACACATACGCATTGAATTATAAAATTTATAATAAAACTATGCAATTATTCGAGAAATCATACTTTTGGCATAATTTGCTGAACGTATTGTCTATATTACAAAATATGATTAACATCCCGAAAACTTACTACTCTTGAGAAATTTAAAAAAAAGGCGCGCATTATTACAGGCTAAGATACATCACGTTTCAGTACATGAAAGATTAATACTCACTGTATATAAACGATCGAATGAAAAGATTAAGGTTCCCAAACTCGACAATCTCAATTATTCAAATATAAAAAAAGACAAAATATCGCAATATAATTCTGGAGATAATTTATGAACAGAAAATTAATGTAACCTCTGTCAAAAATAATACTAAAATTTGTTTAGAGAAAAAAATGTTTCACTATTGTAATAATCACTCTATTCTCTTAACACCTCTATATTCTTGACTTCTTAAGGCACGTATACTTTTTAGTTTTACAATTTTAGCACAATGTGGCAAATAAATATTCAGAAATAGAATCCTTCAAGTAAAAAAATTTTGCCATAAGATGGCATGTAATATTTATCACTTGAAATTGCGTGGTATACAAAAATACTTTGTACGTTTTAACTTGAAAAACTCCTTGAAGAAGTCTTTATATCTTTATGTTTTCCTTATTCATTCACTAATTTACATATTATATACTAAATATACAAGATGTCCCCGAACGTTTTGGCGAGAGAACTTTGAGATTTTATAGAAAATTTAATTCTGAGCAAAAAGTTTCCTATAAACATGGGTTGAAAAATGCTTCCTTAAAAAGTCAGTATTCAAAAACCTTTAAAATTACGATTATTTTATACATTTTTACAAATATCAGGGAATGCGTTTTTTAACAAAAAGTAAAATTGTACGAAAATTGTAGAGAATTCAATTATTTTTCAAATGAGATTAAAATGATTGTAATACGTTCCATAGATTTTCAGATAATCAGTTTCAAATGTACAAAAAGTACTTTTTTCGGCTATCAACGAGCTTTTTTAAAGATATTCTTCATATTTATACTGTTATGGCCTTAGCTTAGCTAAAGATGAAAAAAAATAAAACGTTCGAAGATATTCTGTATAATTACATAATTATAGAATAAGAAAATAGATGATAAAAGTACCATTCATCATTACTCTGGCGTGATCAACATTTTCATTCTGTATGCATCATTAAAATAAGAACGGAGTCGAAAGAAAAGATTAAAGTCAGTATTCATAGTCAATTCTCTTATAATCTATTTAAGACCATCTTAAGTGCATTGTTGAGCTTGAGATGTCATAAATTAATCACAGATTGTGTTAACATTTTAAGATATTATTTAAGATGATCTTAAAATAAGACTATGAATATCTGCTTAAGATTAGAGATTTGGTCCCGACATGTTAAGAATACGTGAAGGAGAGAGAGTTCGGCTGTACTGCTAAAGATAAGAGCATTAGGAATGACATTGGGAATTCATTGAAGCACCAATTGTGTATAAGCAAAAGACTATTATCTTTGAGCAACTTCAAAATACTCTTACTAAGTATTCAATTTCAATATCTTCAATTCATCGCGAACTCTGGTCCAGTTTATTAAGAGATTTGTACAGATCTCTATAGTCTTTTCTCCTCTCCAGTGATTATATATTATGAATTTCGTTATTACTTCTCGTTAACAGACGTAGTAAGAGCAGTTACGTTGTTATTGTTGGATGTAACTTTCTGTTTGCTAGCTATACTAGTCTTTTTCTCATCGAAATGCCGTTTACGATGCACTTTCATGTTGTCACGACGATTGAATTTTTTACCGCATTCCGGACACGCGTGCGTCTTTTCTCCATGTACATGACGATGAGCAGCCAAATGACTCGCTTGTGCAAAACTCGCACCGCACTCTTGGCATATATGTTTACGTAAACCTTCATGCTTTAACAAATGCTCATTAAGAAACGCTTTAGAAGCATAACGATTATTGCAAATATTGCACACAAACGGTTTAGGATTGGCGTGCTGCAGTACGTGCGCTTTATACTTGGAAGCGACTTTAAAAGTCTTGCCACATGTCTCACACGTATATGTGGTCGCATGGCGAGTTTTGATATGTTCATTTAGCACCGATAGACTCGAGTAAAGATTATAACAAAAGCGACAACGAAAATTACGTCGTTTTTTCATATGAACACTTGCGATATGGCCGAGTAATCGCGTGCGAAACGGGAAGACTTTGCCACAATATTCGCAGGCCAGATTTTGCGGTGGTAAATGCGACTTCATATGGATCTGTAATGAAACCTTGTGGTGGTAACTCTGTTCACAGTCTGTACAACTGTACGGTCGTATACCCTTATGAACATTGTCATGTTCAGCTAGATAAAATTTGGATTTAAATCGTTTAGGACATTTGGGACATTGTATGGGTCTGGGATTAGTATGCGAGCATCGAATGTGCTTCATCACATCAGATTTGCAAACAAACTTGGCGTTGCAGACGACGCATGTATATTGCTTGATACCGAGATGTGTCTTCACATGAACTGTACACTTATCTCGGCGTTCATAGAATTTTCGGCAGAGTTTGCACGCATAACCATTCTGTGTTCCATTTACCACGTGCTCCACATTATCATCTACCTTAATCTCCTCGCCATCAATTTTAAAGAGCTCTTCTGGATTCTGCGTTGCTTCTAGTCGCTGTTCCAACTCCGCTAAATCTTTCAACTTTGCCACAGGACTACTGTTTTTCGACGACGTATTGCTAAGAATGCTATTGACAATACTGTTCACCTCTGTTCTGTTTTCGCTTTGCAACAAAGGTACGATTGCTGTATCGACTAGACAATAGCCCTGATCAGGGAAAACCCGTGCTCGCACCGTCGATACCTCATCATTTTGTTTCTTACACAATTCCACAGTAAAGCTAATATCTTCGGCATCGTTATTTCGATTTCTTGTCTCCTTTACAGAAACGTCGATATCGGGAGAGCTAGAAACAATCGTCAATAATTTATTCAAAGCTGTAGTTGGTAACTGAATCGTCACCGATGAATCCTGTTGTTGTTGCTGCTTCGGACATTGTTTTTCTGTATTCTCGTTATTGCTATTATTATTATTATTATTATTCACAGAACGATTATTGGTGTTAGTTTCCACATTGTCATGACTCCTTAATCTATTTGCAATCGGAATCTTTTCATTGTCCACCACAGATGAATCTGCGCTTTGCCTGCTTCTAAGCCAACGAGTCGGTGATGATTCTGTACCTTGAGTCTGTACATTTTTTCCTGCATTTTCATCATTGCACTTGGAAACTTGTTGCTGCTGTTGTTGACTACGAAGGCTTCTTAAAATCTTCGAAGTGGTATTTCTCTTTTTCTGCTGTTCCACTGGATCCTTGACTACATCCTCGGTTTGATTGTTTCTAGTGGAATTAAGATCTTTTTCAATACTGTTGTTATTATCTGACGATGACGAACCCACCAGCAATGTTGATTCTTCATCTTTTACCTCTGTCTGGAGAGAAATCGAATTAGAAATGTAGGAGTAAATAGCAGAACATGCCTCTATTTTGACAATATGCATAAATTTAAAATCATTTGAAAAATTGAGCCATTTTTGTTCAAATTTTCATAATATTATGATTCATACAAATATTTTACATTGACTTGTTATTCATTTATAATAATTTTTCAATAATAAACAAAAAGTACATGATAATTTTAACGCAAAAAATATTTGATAGTATTGTATTAAAATTATACATTTTATTAACAAATAAAAAAAAAAGAAAAATATCATTTAACATTGCTCAGAAATTGTTTAATTTAATTTAGTAACTAAACTTAGTTTAATAACTAAATTTTATTTAGTTATTTATATGTATTTTATTATTTTATAGAATTTGAATTTATACTAATATATTATGAAACTGATACAAGATAGAAGAATTAATTATGATAAAAGAGCGATAGAGAAGTCGATAAAATATAAACAAAATATAGAGACTTACAGACTCTGTTAATGGTGGAAGATTATACTGATCACGTAACACCTGTTGAGTGCGCAGACATTCCTCTTGAAAGTCACAAACAAATTCGAGTTTGCCCAAACACTGAACACAGATCGCTTTGGGAAGAGGATCCTTCTCATCTATCTATGATTCACAAACAAAAGTAACGTAATAAATTAATAATCAAATTTTAAAAAGTAATATTTCAGATGTAATTACTCCGAAAAATATACTTGTGATACATATTTGTAAAAAATAAAAAATAACATCTTATTAAGCCGTATGTAATTTTTATACTAATTCTTGTCACTTTTTCTTTTTCTTTCTGTATGAAATATTAATCATAAATACGACTGCTCTGCTCTATAGATGTAACGATTTGACATATCATTAAATTCTGGTCCTCACTAAACTCAATGATACTCGATGGGCTTGGATTGTTGACAAAGTTAAATTGATAATTTTCATACAATTATAACATTTATTACTCACAATTTAAAAAAAAGTTCACTTTGTTTCTTTTCAAAGATTTTACAAAAAAATAAACATAATTTGTATAATAATCTTATAATGTAATTACATACACTTGAACATTTGAAAATTAATACAAATATTTCTTGTTTACTTAATTATTATTTTTCAAACAGCAATAACAATTTCATAAGAAATTCTGCAAGAATCTTGTTCATAAAGTAACCTTTAATTTACATAAAATATCTATTATTATGATATTAGAATAAGTATAAAAAAATCTTTTGCTATATCCTAATGAGATTACGACATGCTAAAAAAAGAATACTATTAAATATCAATATTTCGGCAAATAATTTTGTATTTCTTCTTAAGGGGATCCTAAAGCCGTCTGTATTACCGACTAAATCATAATTTTTGTATAACAAATACTTTTTTTCTCTTTCACAGATTCGAAAATCCTTTTACAGGATTAAAATATACCCATTAATACGTGTCTGTGAGGTGGAGTTTATGTTGAAAACGACAACAAAGTTCGAAATCTTAAGAAAAATTTTTTATCGTTCTCGGCATAAACTTCACCTCACAAACACGTATTAATGTGTACACTTTAATCCTAGAAAAGGATTTTCGAATCTGTGAAAGAGAAAAAAAGTATTTGTTATACAAAAATTATGATTTAGTCGGTAATACAGACGGCTTTAGGATCCCCTTAAAACTTAAGATGTTTTAAGCCTAATCTACAATGTACTCATTATTTCCTGCCTTCTGCCCTTTGTTTTCTCGCTTTTTATATACTTGTCGCTTGGAGCCGAGAAATATCATCATATTACAATTTGTCTCTTCTGATTACCGAAGAAAAACATTATTTCACATAAAAATATTAAGACACTGAACGATAGTCAAGGTCTGTTCTTATACTAATACAGCATTCTCATTGTTATTATTATAAAGATTACGTGATTATTTTTGCATCATGTCTACTGCAAAATAGAATGAACTAACCTCTTTAACCTAATTTAATCCAATCTAACCTAAATTGCCAACGTTGTATTTAACGCGATGTTTTCTTATTGCCCAGTTTTTTTTCGTTTTTTCTGCTGCCTCTGAGATAAAAGTTGACGAACTTCGAAAGAGACAAGAAATACGTGAAAAGAAATATATTATAGAAACAATGGAAAAGAAAAAATGTATAAGGTAAAGAACAAGAAAAAGGAAGCAAAGAACCACAATGTAAATTAGGCTTTAGAATTATCATTAAATATAATTACAGATGATTGCAATATTTTAATTGATTTGTTTTAATTGAAAATTGTTTAATTTCTTAATAAAGAAAAAAGTGTTGAAGATGAATAAACAAAAGAGACAAAATTGACATTTCAACATCAGCTATACAAATAAAAAAAACTGTTGCGTAAGCAATTAAATTAATTATTGAAAAAATTGTAATCTTCAAGTATATATATATATATTTTGAAAAACATTGAAACCTATAAGTACTGCAAATAGCAATTAATTATAGTTAAGAAAAAAGATTTGTATTTCAACCAAAAGTTTCGATATTCCTGATTTTGAGAAAAAAATGTTTCTTCCATTAATAAACATAAAGCAACGTGTAAACCATACAAAGAAATAAGATATGTTGCATATAAATATACATACTATTTTGAAAAAAAAATTGTAGAAAAAAAACATGGATCTTTCCTTTGTATCATTTTTTTTTAACACCATGTTCAGGTTAGAAAAGGAAAAATTTATCAGGATTGAAAAGTATATAACTCACCAAGATATTAATTTTCCTGTGAATCTTGAGACCAAGATAACGTTTGATACCTTCCTCGCCGAAAACGTCGATGTAGATTTTCTCGTACTGGCCGCAAAGCCTGCACATTTTCGCCTCCCCCTCTTCCACCACATCCATTCTTATGTATTCGTCTCAGTGCTTGCTTACATACACGTTTGACTACCGCAAGGTGGGAATCGATGGAAATCCACGCTCGTCGTTTCGTACCGCATAAGCAACGCTTATTCTTCTACCTTTTCTTTTATGAATTTGCTTGTTATTTGTTTTTGAAAGAACGCAACAAAATAAATGTCTTTATCGTTCGTGACGCCAGAATATGAACCGAAAACTACGAAGAAGGGGCGAAAATGGAGACAACTACACTGGCGTTACTACTTGCTATGACAATTCAACACAAGAGATTCTTGTGGATTCTCGGAGAGTAATCACATTCGAGCCAGACTTCAGTCACGTCCACAAACTTTTAAATACTAGCCAAACGTTCAGTTTTCGATACCACCGTTTGTGGCGCCCTCATTGCATGACTATTGGCTGCTGCACACTAGACGCGGAACCGCTAGAGACACAATTGTTGGATTCATGTGGGGTCTACAATAGAAGTCGTAGCAGTCGTAGGGTCTTAAGGCTGAGTTTCGTTAGGCCGGAATCAGACTACGCATTGAAGATCAAAATCGAAGATTGAAGATTGAAATTTGACCAATGAGGGCGAAGGAATTTTAGTTCCTATTGTTTTGATTGATCAAATTTCAATCTTTCAATCTTCAATCTCAATCTTCAATGCCTAGTCTGATTTCGGCCTTATTCACTGTCAGTACTGACAATATGACGTCATAAAGTAGTACTGCAGAAGCGTTTTGAAATTA